AAGAAAACATTAGTCCAATTTCTTCACCGTAAACATATATTAATAAATTGATAAAAAAATGGGGTAATTACAAAAATGCCACTTTTGTGTGCACATTTGCAAGAATGCCACTTAGGGGTGTCCATTTACAAAAATGCCACTAATTATAGATTTATAAAGCATATATCTTAAAATTCTAAACCTAAAAAATGTTTTGACACCTAAAACCCCCTAAACACTCAAAACTAAACCCTAATAGAACATAATTAACCCAAACATAAATAATATAAAGAAAATATAATTTTGAAAAAGTATCATTTTTGTAAAAATTTCAAAAATGTGGCATTTTTGTAAAGTGGTACTTGAAAAGTGGCATTTTTTGAAATTTCTAAAAAAAAAAAATCAAATAACACTCGACAGTTTGTTTTTTAACGTCATTGAAGAAAAAGAATGCATTTTTACATAAATTATAGGCGCAACAATTTTTACAAGGTTAATATAATGCCTTTTCTCAAAAACAAAAAACAATTTTTACAAGGTGAACATTTGTTTGTTTGTTTTCTTAACAGTACAAGGTGAATTTTTGTTTTCTTGCAATAAAATACACAGGTCATTATTTTTATTCCACATCGTCCATATTTGACTGTTTGTTTCTTTGGTTATCTTTGATCATTATTTTTGCCTTTTTCTTATTTATTCTTCTTCAAACTAAAATAAGTACTGCAGTTTATCACTTTTTTCTTTTGTTTGTTGTTCATCACGAACTATTGTGTTACAGAGTTTTTGACTTTAGTGTCACCTAGTTGTTCACCAATCAGCAATTATGTGCTATAATTCATGTCTTTATTATAATTAAGATCAGACAAATCAGTCCAAATAAATTTGTCTAAATGTTAATATTGAGAGAAATGTGTGAATGCGGGTAGAAATGATTATGTATCAATTACGCTTAATTACCATATGAATTATAAAGAACATAGCATTAAAATGCACGAGAGGATGAGAGAAGAAGATTAAATAATCATTGTGCAATCTTGCATTTATGGCTTTAATTTGCTTCTAATTCTAAATCATATCTTCTTCTAAGTCAAGATCCAAATTTGCATTTGAAAAAAAAAATGAAGATCCAAATTTGCCTTCGAATATTAGCAATGTAGCATCTATTTTGTACATAAATACTAAAAAAATAATACATCTGCCTTTAAATATATACATATCAATTTTTATAACGGGTTTGATTGGTAACCTCTTTTGCAAACGAGATACCTTCCAACCGCATGTTTATTACCAATCAAACGGTCAGTTGCAAAATGAAGTTACAAACGGACGATTGATGAAAAAGTCGTTTGAAC